AAATTCCTCTTCGGTTTTCAACCCCTAATGAGCACCACCAAGACCTTCTTGGGATCTTCTGCCTTCCCTGATCTTGCCCAGTCGTGTGGGGTTCACATCATCCCTCAATTTGCGCCTAAGGAAAGGGGAGCAGGGCCCACGTATTCTGTTCCTCCCCAGTTCTCAGCCATCACCATCACCATCTCCTCAGCCCAGCCAGCCCTCATGGATGCTGATGAGGGACATGGTTAGATGGTGGATGAAAAACCTTCTTCATCCAACATCTCCATCCTGAGACTACAGTCTTAGGAAGATTTAGATCAGTGTTTTTCAAACTTGGCAACTTAAAGATGGGCGGACTTCAACTCCCAGAATTCTGGGAGTTGAAGTCCCCCCATCTTAAAGTTGCCAAGTTTGAAAAAAACTGGTTAATACAGCAGCATGGCCCATTCATTCCAATGATGATCGCATCCCAGGTCACCTGAATGAGACCAAGCTGTAAGAAAGGTGGGTGAGGTTTTTCTTCTCCTCTAACTCCTCCCAGGGCACCTGTCGCTCTGGGTGTTGCGTCCTGGATCCGTCCAGAGTCTGAGATTATCCAAGCAACTTTGCACTAGGTCCTGTATTTTATTTCTTTAGAAAAAAAATACATGGAGATTCCCTTTCAATGCCCTGCCCTGCCTGCCTTGTTTGTACCAAGAGTGCCCAAACCAGCCAGCTGTGATCACACCAAGCAGGACCCAACAACACTCCAGCTGAGATGGAGAGAGATTTAAGGGGAACCTTAAAAAAACTAAAGCGGGGTTGTAAGTAGAGCCTGAAGGCTGTGAGGCTGCTCTGAAGGCCCAGAACTGGGTGGTGGGCACTGGAGCCATTTTCTCCAAAGATGCAAAAAAACAATGCCTTTAAAAAACCACCAGAAATGCCATGTACGACGTCTCAGCCCGTCTCCCAGAATGATTTGAACCCCGCTCCTCTTTAAACGACCCTTCTGATCCTGCAGGGAGACCGCGCTAATGCCAATCGCCCAGGATGCTTGGAGAATAAATGCACATTTCTAAAGCCACGCGTGCTTTCAATCCCCGCAACCACCCGCTGAATCGACTCTCATCTCCGAGACCCGCGCCCCGGATCGCGGCGACGGAGCGGGACGGCTCCGCTCCTGCAAGCCGTTTTAAAGGCGCCGCCTTCGGCACCGCTCGCGCCAGCCAGCCCCCCGCGCCCGTGACGACAAACCCCAGGGACTAGGAACTTGGGCCTCTTCCCAGCGAGCCAATGATCTCCGAGCAGCGCGGGGGGGCCGGCGCCCGCCCACCAACCCCCACCGCCGGCCATCGGAGCAGCCGATCGCCCGAGGGGGAAAGGGCGGGGAGGCTGAGCCGCCCGGTTCCTTGTGCAGCTTGCTACCGGTTGCAAAGCGAAG